ATCACGACTCGCGCTCAGGCCGGTATTGGCGTTCTGGTAGAACCCAACCTTGCCGATAGAATAATCGATTCGAAGCCTATCAGCGGCAGGGTATACAACAGGCAAAATCGATAACCTTGGTACAGGTGTGCGCGCCCAATTTGGAGGGAGAACATGAGATCTATCTTGAGGAAGTGCAGTGTGCAAAGTCTGAAGTGCCGAACACAGACTCCCTCATACTGATGGGCGATTTTAATGACCATGTCGGAATAGACGCTGGAAAGTGGACGGCCATAGCGATCTAAACAATAACGGCATAAAGTTGTTGCGGTTTTGTGCAAACAACAGATTGTTCATTATGAACAGCTTCTTCGAGCATCGAAAAATGCATCGGTACACCTGGTACCGGGAAGCTTGCGCACAGAAGACAATGATCGATTTGATAATCGCATCGTCTGACCTAAGACGCTCAGTAATGGATGTTCGCGTTAAGAGAGGCGCAGAGCTGTCAACCGATCATCACCCTGTTGTTGGCACGCTGCGCTGTAAAAAATGGAGTACCATACGAAGATCCGGTGGCATAAGCAACCGGAGAATCAAATGGAAAACGTTGTCTTCGGTGGACACGAGAGCGAAATTTGCAAACAACTTCGCACGACGGTTTGAACAAATCCCAATGATGACAACTGATATTGAAACCGACTGGCAGCTCTTTTAGAGCGGCACACTCGAGGCTGCCACCGAATGCTGCGGATTTAAACGGGTTGGCTTGCTACCTGGATGTCAGAAAAGATCTTCATGTTGGACACGAGAGGTGCAACTTGCAGTTAAAGTGAAGAAAGCAGCGTTCAGGAAATGGCTTGTATACAAGGAGCCTTCTACTCGCGTGCGATATGTCGAGGCAAGCAACGCGCCAGCCAAAGCGGTGGCAAAAGCCAAAGCTGATTCCTGGTAGAAGTTCGGTGAGGTGTTGGAGTCAAATTTCCAAACGGGAAACAAAGTATTCTGGCAGACCATCCGCCGGCTCTGAGGTGAAAAGAAGGGCAGTCTCAGAGTCTTGAAGGACAGATCTGGACACCCTCTTACCAAGGATGATGAATTCTTCGGTGATGGAGGAAGCACTCTGAGGAAATCCTTAACCCCGCGTAACAGCAGGAAGACTCGCCTGTAGAGCAGAAGGGTACGGATATTACTATCTCCGTAGATGAAATTGCACACGCTGTGAAAAGCTTGAAACATGGAAAAGCTACCGGAATTGACGATTTCCACCCTGAGATGCTCAAGGCATTAGGCGAACAAAGCATATGCTGGTTAACACGTGTCTGTCACACTGCAATGACTGCGTGAAAGACACCAGCGGAATGGAGAACGGGAGTTATTGTACCCGTATTCAAGAAGGGAGATCACAAGGAATGCTCCAATAATAGGGGCATAACGTTATTGAGCCTCCCAGGTAAAGTCTACACAACGGTGCTAGAAAGGGGGAGCCATGAAATAGTTGACCTCAAGATCGAAGAAGCGCAATATGGCTTCCGGCCAGTTTGAAGCACCTCTGACCATATATTTGCGCTGCGCCAGATTGTCGAGAAATCATGGGAGTACGGCCATTCGGTGTACATATGTTTGTGGACCTAGAGAAAGCGTATGACCCGATCCCACGCAACAGTCTGTGGACATGCGTTCGTGCATACGGGATTGATGGCAAGTTGCTAAGGGCCATCCAATCATTGTATTCTGATAGCAAGTGCTGCTTCAGGGTTAATGGCGTTAAGTCGAAACCATTGAGTGTTCGCACTGGTCTCCGCCAAGGCTGCGTCCTGTCCCCTATCCTGTTTGTGTTGTACATGGATAGAATGGTCAGGAGCTACCAAGGCGATGAGGGTATCGGTGTAGGAGATGTGAAGTTGAGAAGTTTCCCATTTGCAGACGATCTTGTTTTATTAGCATCTTCTGAAACTGATCTCCAGTGCTCCTTAGAAAGGCTGGCAGCTGAGTGCGACGTGACCGGCATGCGTTTCAACTCATCTAAAACGAAAAGCCTGGTGCTTTCTCGTTCTCCTGCCCGTTGCTCTCTTCAGATAGACGGAGAGGCAGTATAGCAGGTGGAGAAGT